CCAAGTCCCCACCTCTGGCCCCTGGTTCTGTGTGGCGTGGAGCACTCGTCTCAGCCTCCTCCGCTGGGCAGCGGGATGTGTCAGGACTTCCCCGTGGACGCCCGGGCTTCCCGCACGCGGGCTCAGCACAGGACAGGCCCAGCCTGGGCCCCCTTCCTTCACAGGGAGGCTTTCCGACCCAGGAGGCCCAGAGAGGCTTAGCAACTGCCTGAGGTCACACAGCTACTCTGTGGCCGTGGAAGTCATGCTGGGTATCCCACCAGCTGTATCCCCTGAGGGTCTTCTTTCTCCTCCCCACCTCCAAGCACAGATGTCCCCCTGCCCCCCGGAGGCACGCGCCAGGCAGCCTTGGAACGTTTTAATGTGTCACAGGAAACGCAGTTACATAAAGGGGACGTGGGCCTGGTTTTAATGATTTTAAAAATGCTGAGGCTTCAAGGTGAAAGAAATCTCTGTCTTTTTTTGGGGGGGGAGAAACAAAATCCCTGGGGGTGGAATTTTGGGAAAGAAGAGTGACAGGTGTAGGTGGCTCCGTGGCAGAAGCCTCCTTCCAACAAGGGCTGCAGGCTCCGCTGGCGGCCAGAGGAGGCAGGGGGCGTGCATCTGTCGACTCTCCGCCTGGCTCTGCTTTTAGAGCTCACATGGCAAGCCCCGGGCTCACGTGGAACTCTCTAGAAGTGGGTTTGTTCCACTGGGGGGTGGTGGTCACCCACGCTTCCTGCAGATACTTGAGAACCCATGGCCAGAGATTAAAAAAAAAGTGGAATATATACAGCTTGATCCCCTTTTCCACACAGGCACACCCACGCCCGCCTCCCGACCCATCTACGGAGCCCGTTCAGCCTCCAGAAGGCTCCTGGGTCCCCTCTGCCCGCCAAGATTTCCCCACCCGCCCTTTTTAACTGTCCGTGGACTCTGCTTCTTTCTGAGCTCTCCATAAATGGAAGGACATGGAATGCGCTCCTCCTTTGTCTCTGGCTTCTTTGGTCAAACAGTTTTATCTGGGAGATTGGTGCATGTTGGTGCCTGGGGTAGTCAGCTTGTTTTTCTCTGCTGCATAATATTCCATGGCGTGAAAACACTGCGTCATCTGTGGATGCGCTCTGTTGACGGATGTTTGGGTTGTCCTGACGGTGAATAGAGCTTTGTATTGGGAATGGAGACCAGGGGTGTAGGGGGGGAGGCTCTACCACTAAGAGTTACATTCCCCAGCTCTTTCAATTTTTATTTTGAGACAGGGTCTTGCTAAGTTTGCCCAGGCTGGGCTGAAACTTGCAAACCTCCCACCTCAGTCTCCTGAGTTGCTGGAATTTGGGCAGGAGCGCACGGCATCTGGCAAGAAAGGGGCATTTTATATCTAGGAGATATTGAAACCACGCCATGTCCTTGGTACTTGCTGATCGGATGCTGCTGTGTGGCCCTGCATTTGGGCTCTGAACCTTCCTGACCTGCAAAGGCTGCATCCACCAGGATCCCTTGCAGCTCGATCCGGGATGTGGGTCAGCATCCACCAGTGAGCACCTGGGGACGGAGAGAGGATGGGACCACCTGCGGCTTGGGCCTGGGCTGCGTCCTCCCACTGAGTCTCAGGATGTGGGATTTCCTAAGACCCTGGTCTCAGTACCCAGCGCGGGCAGAGGCCACGCCCCTGAGCCCTGTGGCCGTGTGGTGTCTCTACTGCCACCTGCTGGTGAGGTGGGGAGGCGGCTCCCTTGGCAGGTCAGCTGGGCAGAGGCGTCCACAAGTCCAGCCCTGGGTGCGTCCCTCCTCTTGCCCTGCAATGACTTTCTAAGTACCCAGCACCAGTGTGGCATCCTGGGTGCTTCAAACCCCCGGAGACACCATCTCACGTTAGAATGGCTCCTGTCAAGACAAAAACAAAATCCCCCCAAAACAGAAAACAGCAAGTGTTGGCATAGAGGTGGGGAAATGGGACCCCTGGTGTACTGTTGGTGGGAATGGGCGATGGTGCTGTGGAAAACAGTGTGGAGGGTTTGCAGAAAGTTCAGGAAAGATTTGCCATGGGATCCAGAGTCCTGCTTTGGGGGGGTACATGTCCCCAAAGAATGGAAAGCCGGTTCTGAAGGAGATCATTGCATCATAGAGGTGCTGTTCACAGTAACCAAGGGTGTGCATCCACAGGTGAGCGGATGCACAAAATGTGGCTCATCCATAGGACGGGCCACTGTTCATCAATACGAAGGAATGCGATTCTGACGTTCGGTTGAGTGAAACAAGTGAACAAATACGGTGTGATTTCACGCTTAAGAGGTACCTAGGGTGCCAGGTGAGGTGGTGCACGCCTGTGATCCCAGCAGCTCAGGAGGCTGAGGCAGGAGGATCTCGAGTTCAAAGCCAGCCTCAGCAAAAGCGAGGCGCTGAGCAACTCCATGAGACCCTGTCTCTAAATAAAATGCCAAATAGGGCTGGGGAGTGCCCCTGAGTTCAATCCCTGCTATGTCACCCCCCCAAAAAAAGAGGTACCTAAGGGAGTCAGGGTCATGGAGACAGAAAGTAGCTGGTGGTTGCGGGGGGCTGGGGGAGGGACGGGGGCGTTGGTATTTAGTAGGGACCTTGGTCTGGGGAGGAGAGAATTCTGGAAATGGTCAAAACGGTCAACTCACAGGACAGGCACCTCCCTGCCCCCCTCCACCGCCCACTACCCCCCTCTGAGGACTGTCCTTCAGAGCCCTGGAAGAGTCTGGCGGGGGAACAAACCAGCCAGTGAGTCCTTAGGAGTGGGTGTTGGCTCTTGGCGCCCAACCAGCAGCCTAGGGACACTGGCCAGGTCCCCGCCTCCGGGCAGGAGGAGCCAGGCCCTCAGGCTGCGGGTGGCCAGGTCAGCAGATGGCGACTGGTATAAGCCCAGGGGGACTCGCCCTCTGCCAGGCAGGTCCGTGATTCCTGTCCCCTGCTAGACTGACGTTAAAAAAGCCACCCAGCATGTCCCCAGGGTTGCTTTTCCAAGTGTCAACGAGGGGGTCATGACAGACCAGAGTGGGGGCCATTCCCACCCCTCTCACGGTGACCGGGATGGGGAAGGGGCGTGATGGGCCCTGTCCCTGCCGGGGTCAGAGCCCTGGGTCTTGTGACACCTCCCTACCTCTCACGACAAGGACTCTCCGTGCATAGAGAATGAAGTGCATCGCATCTCGTCTCCTCCAGAGGCGAAGCAGAGGAGCAGCCCAGCCCCGCGCTGGAGGCCTCGTCAGGAAGGTACTGAAGCCGCCCACCCAACTGGGGTCCCTTGGCACCCTGTCCCCAGAGGTGACAAGCCTAGGGCTTGTGCCACCTCCCGGCTCCCGCAGCCTGACCCAGCGCCTGGGCGAGGAGCCAGGTCCCGAGTGTGAGCGGGGGGCGCCACCTGCTGGTGAAATCGGAGAAGCCCCGATGGGTCTCACCGCACGTTCTGGGGGGACGCAGAAGTCAGTTTGGGGACTCAGCTCCAACGCTGCCTTTTTCTCTTCCCTGTAGCCTCACCTCTCGCCTGGACCGTCTTCTGGCCTCTGAGCCCCAACGGGGCATGTGGAGCCCTGGAGAGGGTCCCCTCCACCCTGCACCAGGCTCGTGGGGTGAGCAGCATCTTCTCTCCTACACATCAGCACCCACCTGCTCTGAAAAGCTGTGCCTGGGCTTGGTGCCCTTTGTCTGTGCCCCACGGCCCCTGCACGGCTTCCTTCTTAGTGGTGGTCTCACGCTTGACATGAGATGTGGGAACAGCATCACGGTGAACACTGCCATGCATGGTGTCCAACTCAAGAAGAGACATGGGTCCCTGGCAGCCAGCAGCACCAGAAGCTATGCCCACGGTGGTTTTGATTCAAGTTGCTTATAAAAAAAAATATAGGGCTGGGCTGGGCACGGTGGCACATGCCTGTATTTCCAGGGACTCAGGAGGCTGAGGCAGGAGGACGGCAAGTTCGAGGCCAACCTCGGCAATTTAGCAAGATCCCTAAGCAACTTAGCCAGACCCTGTCTCAAAATAAAAATAAATAAATAAAAGGTTGGAGAGGTTGCTCCAGTGGTTAAGCGACCCTGGGTTCAATCCCTAGTACCCTCTGCCCCTACCAAAAAAAAAAAAAAAGTTGTATCAACTTCTTATGCTAAATTTGGGGGATAAAAAGAGGAAAGGAGGAAGGAGCAGTAAGAAATGTCTTATTGTCAAACCAAACTAATAGAAAGGCCTTGGAAGTCCCTCTTCTGGTTGTCATCGGGGAAGGTATACACATTTTGCATATCACGACTCCAGTTATGTGCAAGGACGATTGTTACTGTTATGTCATCGGTTGATGGCATTCCGAGGTATTCATGAGAACCATCCTATGTGACTGCAAAATACTCACCCTGCTGTGACCCAATATGACACCCAGGAGGGATCCCTATTTGCTGGGTATGCAGAGACTTGCCAGTTTTGAGCTTTTAAAAGTAGTACTTGGGGATACTTAAAAAATATCCCAGGCACTCTGGCCCAGGCCCGTGATCCCAGTGACTTGGGAGGCTGAGGCAGGAGGGTTGCAAGTTAAAGGCAAGGCACTGAGAGTGAGATCCTGTCTCAAAATAAAACATAAAAAGTAGTGAAGATGTAGCTCAGTGGTAGAGCACTCCTGGGTTCAATCCCCAATACTAAAATGTTAATAATGAATGTTTTCCTATTATTAAAATAAAATAAATTGTACCCACACTAAGGATCTTATCTTCTTCTGGGTGAATTCCTAGAGATGGAATTCCTGAGTCAAAGAAGAAAGGACGTTTAATTCCTTTTTTTCTTTCTAAAAGTCTTCCTTCCTTCCTTCCTTCCTTCCTTCCTTCCTTCCTTCCTTTCTATACTGGGGATTGAACCCAGGGGTGCTTTACCACTGAGCCACATCCCCAGCCCTTTTTATTTCTTATTTTGAGACAGGGTCTGGCTAAGTTGCTTAGGGCCTCGATAAATGCTGAAACTGGCCTTGAATTTGACATCTTCCTGCCTCAGCCTCTCCAGTCCCTGGGATTACAGGTGTGTGCTTACCACACGCAGCTTAAATTTCTTAATCAGCAATTTCAAGCGTGGGGGGTGTGTGTGTGTGTCCCAGGGTCGATCTGGCCTTGGCCTTAGCAAATTTATAAATGCACACCAACATTTAAAAGTAAAAAGGAGGGCTGGGGGTGTAGCTCAGTGATGGAGATCCTACTCCGCATGCACCAGGCCCTGGGTTTGATCTCCAGCACCACGAAAAGAAACGATAATGACAATAAAGAAAAGTCAGAAGATTCCTCCCTGGAATTCAGATTTCCAGCCTACCTTGGGAAATCAGAACTGCCCAATCCATGTGGTACACTCAACACCAGCAGGCAGGAGAGAAACTACATGATTTCAGCCGATGCAGAACAAAAGCATTGAACAAAACCCACCGCATTTTGTGATTAAAAACGCTCAACTAACTTAGAATAGAGGAAACTTTCTGCACAGGACAGAGGACATTTGTGGGAAACTCACATCACTGGAGTCGATTCTCAGTTCAGAAAGAGTCTCTTATGCATACGGCTAATTTATTTTCAACAGGAGTATCAAGATTATTTGAAGAGGAAAGACCAGTCTTTTTTTTTTTTTTTAAATAGTGCTAAACTGGGCACATTGGTGCCTACCTCTAATCTCAGGAATTACATAATAATCCCTTGGGAGGCTGAGGCAGGAGAATCAAAAGTTTGAGGCCAGCTTGGGCAATTTAGGGAGACCCAATCTCAAAATTTTTTTTTTTTTAAAAAAGGGGGCTGGTGTGGTGGCTCAGTGGTAGAGCCCTTTCCTGACATGTGTGAGGCACTGGGTTCGATTCTCAGCACCACATATAAATAAATGAATAAAATAAAGGTCTATCAACAACTTAAATAAATAAATAAATAAATAAAAATAAAGAGGTCTGAGGGTATAACTCAGTAGTAGAGTGGCCCCTGGGATCCATTCCCAGTCCTGAGGAGGACAAAAGATCTAGTGTGATTAGATATCCACCCAACAGACAAGCTGAACCTTTACCTCACCCCATATAAGAGAAGTCACTCCAAAAGGATCAAAGTTGTACATATGAGAACTTTAAGTTGTAATAGTCCTAGAAGAAAACACAATGGTAAATATTCGGTGCCTTGGACTTAGCGATATTTCATACATAGGACCCTAAAAACATAAGCTGGTGCGTCAGATACGAGGTGTCCCCCCAAAAGCTCCTATTATTACTGGGATGTTCAGAGGTGAAGTAATTAGATTTGGAGAGCCGCAACCTGATCACAGGATTCATCCATCCAGTGGATTAATAATCCCGATGGATTGACTGGGTGGTCATTGTCAGCAAGAAGGGTGTGGTTAGAGGAAGTAGGTTCTGGGGGGCATGGTTTTGGGGATTTTCTCCCTGGTGCCTTACCCCCCCACACACACACCTTCTCTCTCTCCTTCCGGGATGATTGAAAACTTGGGTGAAGCAAAAGATGCTGTCAAGAGTGTAAGATGACAACCCACAAATGGGAGAAACTGTCCACGAATCACCGCCCATGAAAGGCCTAGTATCCAGCATACATAAAGAACTCCTATGACTCCACAGCAACAGAACTAAACAACCCGGCTTCCAGATGGGCCAAGGACTTGAATGGACAATTTTTTTTTCCCTAAGAAGATCCACAACAAGCATGTCAAAAAAAGATGGTCCGCATCATTAGTCATCAGGGAAATGCTTAGAAAAAATCACCGGGGGCTTGGCCAGGAGCATGGGCACGTGGAGCGTGTGTATTTGCGTGGGGAGTTGTATGTAGGTGGGGTCGGGTGAGCGTGGATGGGTGGAGGTGTAGATATTGGGGAGCGCACCCTCTAGCCACAGGGGCGCTGTGGAGCCTTGGAACTTGTGCTAGAACGTTATTTTTCCGTTGGCACAGGAATCTGGGTCTTTGTCTGCCTGTTGTTGGTCACGTGGGTATTTATTCGGTGATTTTCGTTTTCAAAAAAAAAAAAAACACACTTCTGCAATGCAAATCGGCTGACCGTGGTGGTGGTTCCTGGGGTGATTCTTGTTAAAACAAATGCATTTGGCTGGTGATTTTTGCAGAGCCGTAGAATGACCCCAGGTGGGGGCTGTCCAGTTGGGAAGGAAGGCGGGGCTGTCTTGTGCCTCCTGAGGTGTTTGCCAGCATCCCAGGCCTCCATCCACTTGATGCCAGCAACCCCACCCCACCCCCTGGGGCATTGAGATATCCTAAACTGTCTCCTGACATGGCCACATGTCCCCCAACCATGTTCATATTTTTTTTTAATTTTTTTTTTTTAGTTGTTGCTAGACCTTTACTTATTTATGCACGGTGCTGAGAATCGAACCCAGTGCCTCCCACATGCCAGGCTACCGCTGAGCCCCAGACCCAGCCCCCAGAGGCAGTTCTTGGTGGAGAACTTGAATGAGAAGGACAGGGGATATCTAAGGCCCCTCACATCAATGACTGCAGACGACATCGCCTCTGGGTTTGCAGAGAGTGAACTTGAGTAAATTCGGTGAAGGGCTCACTTCCACAGTCTTCGCTTATTGTTTCTTATATATTTATTGTTCTGAGGGTCAGGTAACAGATAAGTCTATTAATTCAGTCCATAAATATGTATTGAGCACCTGCTGTATGCCAGACACTTTTCTAGGCACCTGGGAGACAGTGATAAGAAAAACAGACATACTTTCTGCTTATTTGGAGCTGCTTCTTCTGTGTGTGTGTGTGTGGGTGTGTGTGTGTGTGCACGCGCGCATGCATGCGCACGACTAATAAATCAATGAGTAGAAAATCAAGGGAACTTAAAAAAAAATGACAAGGGACTGAGGGTGGGGCAGTGCTGTTTTAGTCAGGGAAGATCTCCCCCTAAGGAGATAATGGGATAACCCAAAGATAGAGCATGCAGACTGAGGGAATAAGTGCAAAGGCCCTGGGGCAGCAGTGTTCAAGCTGCAGTCAGATGTCCTCTGTGAGCGGGAGCAGGAGCAGGAGTCAGGCGCAGGCCCTACAGGCGTTAACATTTCATTCTTCATAACTTGGAAAGCCATATTCGTGTCCTAGGATTGCCATGACAAATTTCTATAAACCAGGGCTTAAAACAACAAGCATTTATTCTCTTGCAGTTCTGGAGGTCAAAAGACTTAAATCAGTACCCCTTGGTCAAAATCAAGGCATCCGCACGGCCATGCTTCTGCTGAGGCTCAAGGGGACAAGCTCTTCCTTCCTTGCTTGGTTGGTGGCTGCAGCCTTTGTCCCCACGATCATGTTGTCTCTGATTCTTCTGTCTGTATCGAGGACTCTCCCTGTACCTCCCCCTTGTAAGTATGCATGTGACTGCACTTAGGGCTCCCGGGGACAATGCAAGATCATCAGGTCAAGATGCTTAATGTAGCTGAGTGCTGTGGCGCCTGCTGGTAATCCTAGCTGCTCAGGAGGCTGAGGCAGGAGGATCACAGAAGCTTGAGGTCAGCCTCGGCGGCAACCCAGCTGTCTTCCACTGGTATGGAAGACGTTCCAAGTGGAGGAGGGACCTGTGCAAGTTGAGGGTGGGGAGGCAATGAGGTATTTGGGAGGGAGCAGAGGAAGGCAAAGTGGGAAAGGAGGGTTGGGGGCAGGAGAGGTGCTAATCTCACACTTCTTTTCTGAAAGAGCTCTTGATTGCCATCTGAGAACGCGCTCCCGTGTTCTCAGTCCCTGCGGGATGTTGGGTCCAGCCCTGGGTCTGGAGGGAATCACAGCCTCAGGTTGGCTAATCAAACTTCTCTCTATTCTGACAACATCCGTGGGCCCGGGAATGCACACAGGACCCAAACTGGGCCAGTCACAAACATGCAGCTTGAAATCTCCGGGGAAAGCAAACCTAAGAGGTGGATCAGGATCCAGCCATGCCTGAAGTCGTCCCTGTCCAATGGGTGCACCCCCCACAAAAATGGGTTCAAGCAAAAGTTTGGGATTGGGTTTTATGCATCTGCAATAATCCATGAATCCAGGAATGCATTAATCCATTAAACGACCTAATTTCCTCTTCATGCGTCCGC